TGGATGGCAGGCAACATGGACATAGCACACTGCATCGGGGAGAAATATGGCCGTGGCCACTCCTTGCCACCTCTTTAATGCTGCAGGGATGCTGCGAGGGTCTCCCATCACCCTTCACACAGCAGCCGGGATCGGGGTGCATGTCCTCACCTCATGCAGGGGGTCCTTCCTCGCGTTGCGCCCCGCCAGCGGCTCATCATGGGGAAAGACAACCGAGTAGTTTTTGGCATAGGACTCGTGGCTCCGCTCCCGGATCCAGCGGTTGTTATCAGTGAGGGAATGGTGAAACCTCCTGGAAAGCAGGGAGAGGGCAGTGTCCAGATGAGCCCACCAGTTCATGGGGTGCCTCCTCCCCCAGGCATGGCCCTTTTGGCCAGGCCCAGATGTGGGTGCAGCTGCTGTGGTGTAATATTGCTATTCCTGCACCCATTTCACAGGTAGGAAAGTGGAAGAACCAAGCGGGGCTTGGTGCTGGCCATGCCACAGCTTCCATTGAGCTCCCCAGCCCTGCTCCAGGCACATCTACCCCAGAGGAACTGGGAGCAGAATACAGCCCTGCTTGGGAGAAAATAATAGAAAAAGAGGAAACTTCAGGTTAATTCTGCTCCGCTTCAGAGTGGGGCTGGCTTCAGAGCATGCCTCCCACACCGCCCAGGTTTAAACGCAGCCCCGATTTTGGGAAAGAGCCCTGGACATTCCTTACATTTCTCATTCAATTCTCTCTAGGCTGAAATATAAATAAAACCCAAAGCATTTAAAATTTGTTTGACATATTTTTCATCTTTCAAACAGAAAAACTCCTTGGAGGAATGTGCCAGCTCAGCACACGCTCGGGTTGTTGTAACCAGAGACCCATAACTCACAGGCAGCAGCTCTGGGCGCCGGTGGCACCTTTCCTGGGGCTGGGGAAAGGGAGGGAGGCAGCAGGCAAGCAGCAAGACAAAATATAATTTATAAGGACTTTTAAAATAATACTTTCAGCTTCAGAGGAGAAGCAGGGCACTGGGGCCCCCAGAGCAGCAATTGTCTCGCTGTGGGGGCAGCTGCCCCTTCTGCCACCACAGGACAAGCAGCAGGTGGCACATGGCATGTCACTGGTGTCACCCATACCCCAGCTGTCCTGCCAGCATCATTGACAGAAGGAATTTCTGACAGCAGCAAGAGGAGAAACAGCTGCCAGATGAAATATTTACAACCGAGTGTTTTGAGAGGATAAATATTTAAATGTGCAGAAAAGGGAGTTATTTAAAGAGGAGCTTAGCAGTCGTCACCAAAAGAAAAAAATGGGACTGACACCAGCTTGGTGAGGGGGCAGACGGGATATGGGGGATGCTCGGGTGATCCAGATGCAAGGGCTGGGAAGCCCCCGGCTGCTCCCCTCTCCTCCCAGCCTGAGTCAATGGGGTGTTTACCAGCTTTGCCATTAAATCAACATGATTTTTAAAAGCTTTGTCCCTGACAAGGTGGTTGCTGTCGCTAGCAGCACTGTGAGGAAGCCTAAACCCAATCAAACATAATCAAGCAAGTCAAAAGCAATTACAGAGCCAACATCTGCACAGCCAAAACTCCCAGCCCATGTCGTGCTGCAGATGGGGTGGGGGGGTGGGGAGCTAATCTTTCTCCTGTTGAAATCATCACCCCCGATTATTAACTTAGAGGATTAGGCACGGCACTAATTGAACAACAACAAAACCCAAACGTAATTACCCTGTCCTTTCCCATCACCGCAATCTCCTCGTGTCTGATGGAAGCCGTTTGCATAGAGCTGGAATGAGGCAAATGAGATAAACCCCTTGTGTAAACTCATTAAAGCCATTACATGTAATTGATTCCAGCTCCTCGGAGGGACACAAACACCCACTCCCCATACCAGCATCCAGCCCTGCCTCAAAACCCATCCCCAAGGACCACCCAAGGACAGGGGATACCAGCGAAGGAAGGGACCCAGGACAGCAGGGGTGACTTGCCTGATGTCGTAGCCGTACATGTCCTTCTCTGGCCGCCCATGGATGATCCAGTGAGCCAGCTCCTTCCCGCAGCCACCTCCCAGCATCATCCCTGGGGGAAGAGGCAAGGACCCAGATGAGGCCTAGCGCGGCTGTGGGTGCCAGGCTCTGCCTGGCGTGCGATGCCCACTTCGGGATGCCCGAGATGTGGCTCTCTCTTACCAGCGCTGTTGAAGCCACAGCCAAGGAAGAAGCCTCGGACCTCTGGGGCTTCGCCCATGAGCGGTTTGTGGTCAGCTGTGAACGACTCTGCAAGACAGAGAGGCCAGGACAGGTATTTTGGGGACACATCACATGCTTCAGAAGCAAGGCTCCTACAGCTTCCTGTGTTGGTCTTGGCCTGCTCCTGCACTCAGAGAGGGCGATGGGGTCTGAACTGGACCAACACCGAGCACTTCCCAGCATCTCAGCTCGGGCATCCCCCATCTGTGCCTCCACCAGCACCCAAAGGGAAAGCTGTCCTGGTACTGGGATGCTCAGCATCACACAGGGTCCTTGTGCAGTCTCCTGAAGTAAATATACTTACATATATATACATATATTTTCTTCAGAAGCTTGCATGAGTATACACGTATGCAGACACACACAGATATGTGCACATTGCACTGCTGGAGGCAGAGCAGGTGCTGGTGGCACAAGGCAGGTCCTTTGCAGCCCTGCACATTGCACATTGTCACCACTAGCACTGCAAGGGGAAGACCTCAGCATTAGAGTTTAGGCTGAAAATTTGTGAAGCAGAATGAATCCCCAAGCAGAAGGCACACCAGGCACTTCTGGGGCTCAAGCAGCCCCTTTTTTTCTCCCAGTTCCCCGTCAAGAGGGCTGCACGGACCTGTTTGTTGCCTCTCCAACATCTGGGCCATATTTCATTTTGATGACTATATTTCACCTGCCTTGATTTCTGCTGGGAAATTTAATTACTTTAATCTACTTTATCCAGCTGAGAGATTGCTGCTGCTGTTGTCCAAGGCTCCTGTGCTGCTGCTGTCTCTTGCTGCTGGCTCCTGCTCCCCATTCAGCTATCAACCATGGTCCTTGTGCAAATCCCCACTGCGTAGGACAGAGCAGGACACCCTGGCAGAGCTGTGCAAGCCTCCTTCCAGTTTATGGAAGGAGAGAATTGAGACAGGGTTTGGCTTGGTCCTTCACCCCCTCAGAAATGCCCACCTTGTTTCCCATGATCTCTGCACTCAAGAGAAGGCAAGAAGAGAGTCAGAGGATTATTTCATGCCAATATCCATGTACACCAGGGTACCAATTCACTGAGTTAAGGGAGCAACCCCCAAAGCATCTCCAGTTCACCAGTGGTGCACACCAGTTCCCTTGTCTTTGTGCTGGGATGGATGCTGAGTGCACACCTGGGACCTTGAACCCTGGATCAGCAGCTGGAGCAGAAACAGCTTAAAACCACCCCAATTTGGTCTGGTTTTGTCCCCTGCACACAGAGCACAGTGCAATGGCTGTTCTGGTGGTGAAATATTCACCAGCATAGCAGAAAGGACAAGCATTCGCTGTCTGCTTCAGCCCGGCGTGACTCAGCTGTCGCGAGCAAACCAGCTGCTGGTTTAAATCAAGGAGTAGCAAAGGAGGAGCGCTGACCCTTTGGAAATTACATTACTGTACGACAAATACCAGACATATATCTATAAGAAGCCAGCTCCCCAGCGGGGGCACCAGCTCTGCTTACACCGCAGTTTCATCAAAGCCACTGTATGCAGGGCCAAGGTCTCCCCTTGTTCGTGTCATGTTTTATCTGCAGCGGGGCAGGAGATGTGCCCTACTTTCCCCTTGTAGAGCAGCATCGCTCCCTCCCTGAGGGCCTTGAGGATTTCCCTTTAAGTGCTTCAGCAAAAAAAGGGATTTTTTTTTTTAATTTTTCTTTTTTTTTTTAGCATGTAGTGGTTTTCAAAGCCAAACCAAGTGTACAAGGCTTGGGTTCAATGGCTGGCAATCAGTGCTGCTACGGCTTTTAACTCCACACCAGGCAGCCTAGGATGTAAATCTGGGTAAATCTAACATAATCAGCCCAGAAACAAGTAGTAAAAATAATAATAATAATGTAAAGAAAATACTTGTTAAACAATGGCCACTGCTTGAATAAAATCTGCCCCTTAATTCCCCAGTCCAGTGGCCACACCACCAGCCACCCCCAGTTTGTACCAAGTAATGTATTTCTCCTCCTAGGCTGAGCCTGGGATGCCACCCCTCGGAAGATGTCACCATTGCAGCCAGACACAGCCGTTGTCTCTGCGTTGAGAGATTTTCTTCTCCCCAGGTTATGAAGTTTCCCCTTGCCTCCAGCAAGACCCTTGGAGGAACACGGTGCCACCACTGACCATTACCTGGCCCGCAGACGGTGGATTTAATGCCTGTTTTCTCCAGCACTGGCACTCTCTTGATGGCACCTTCGATGTGCTGCATGAAAACCTCCCAGTCCAGATCAAAAAGGCCAAAAGCAAATTTTTCAGATACCTGAAGGAGGGAAACAGGAATCAGGACACAAAATAGAGTACAGCTGAGGGTGTAAGAACTTCTCAGCTCTGGCAGTCTCAGAGACCATAGAAAATCAAGGTTGCTTTTCTGGGTTTTCATGGAGAGCCTGGCCAAGCCAAAGGTCTGGGGCAAAGCACAAACTGAGACATCTGCACCTGGATAAAGGGATGGTGCAGGCAGGCAGGAACCACACTGTAGCCCCTAAAATCTCCACAGCTTTTTAAACCCATTCCTCCTGCCTCTGTGTCTCATGTCTATGCCACAGACAGACCGAAAGGGAAGATCTCTCCCGTGCTTTCCCCACCGGCCACACAGAGGTTGGTACCTGCAGGAGTCGGGGGGAATGAGGTGCTCACGCCTGTGCCCACCCCTCCGAGGTGGGTTCCCTGAAAACCTGCCTCCTTCCCCCAGAAAACCTCCTGGCACCAACTCACCTCCTCCCAGAAGATGGGGTTTGACTCATATCCACCCACGGAAAGGGCATCGCCTTGGAGACGGAGATAGACCGAGGCATCATGATCGCGAACATTTGGCATGTTCTGGAAAATGGGGAGGAGTGAGAGGGGGCTGAGAGCTGTGGCGAGACCCCAGCATTACCCCAGCAAGGCTGAGCGGGATGAGCTGGGGCTCTGGACAGGCACCAGAGCAATGGCTCAGGATGCTCGGGGGAGCGGGAGCAGTCGCTGAGGTTGATCCCAGCTTGGAAAGCATCGCTCCTCTGCCACCCACCTTTGCAGAAGGATGCAACAGCACGACATGTGGGCAACAGTGAGCAGAAAATGAGGGATTTGTTCTCGTGAATAATGGATAGAGAAACATTTAGATGATAGCACAAGTGTTGGTGTAGGGCCTGCTGCAATTCATGTTGACAAATGAAATTAAGTGGATTGAACAGGAGGCACTGGGGTCCGCAAGCTGCAGCCTTTTCTCTGGAAAGTTTCTTTCTCACTGTTTGTACAGCACAGCGGAGTTACTGGGGTATAAATGTAATCATTGACACCAGTGCTTTTTTAAAATAAGCCACCTCAGAGTGAAATATCAGACACGGAGTGTGTCAGTGGGATGGAAACTAAATAACTCATCACCTTCAAAGCCCTGGTGCCTGAGTGAACAAAGTCTCCTTCATCTCCTGAGCAATCTGCATCCAGATGGCAGGAACTGATTTCCTGGGACAGTTTAAAAATGCTTGGAGAGCTGCACCTCTGCCTCCTGGTAACTGGGGCTTGTTCAGGCAGTTTTTGGTATCTTTATGAATGCTGCTATTGGACACCAGACACATCAGAGACCCTATAATAATTCTACCGAGATGAATAAAAAAATAAAGAAAATGATCCTACTAGCTATAACATTGTTAAATATTCAACGTAACTCTATTAAAGGTAGCCTGATAGCCCTGCGAGGAGGAGAAACTGCCAGGTGTGCACTTCCCTGGGTGCAGAGCCTGACCCAGCAGCACAGGCTTGAGC